ACATACACACTGGCCCCATACTGAAACCTTGCACATACCACATACACACTAGCCCCCCACTGAAACCTTGCACATACCACATACATACTGGCCCCCCACTGAAACCTTGCACATACCACATACATACTGGCCCCATACTGAAACCTTGCACATACCACATACACACTGGCCCCATACTGAAACCTTGCACATACCACATACACACTGGCCCCATACTGAAACCTTGCACATACCACATACACACTGGCCCCATACTGAAACCTTGAACATACCACGTACATACTGGCCCCATACTGAAACCTTGCACATACCACATACATACTGGCATCATACTAAAAGTCAGACAAGTTCATTCAGTATTATGGCCTAAAGTAAAATTGATAGTAACTCCTAATATATTTGAATGTGAATGTACAGAAAATCTTCTTAAACGTGACATTAAGACATGTTTTATGTTAGTAGCCACTGAAAGGATGACATGTCCATTTTGTAAATTAATTACATTGATCATTAACATTTCAGATTTATAGTTGTTATTCAAGAAAAAAAGATATCTAGATCTTTACTTGGAATACTAGTTACACTTAAATAAGACGTGGAATTCATCTTCATTTTCACCTATGTCACAATTGGTACATATACTATTAACAGCATCAATATCTTTAGATTTTTTACACAAATTATGTAATGAAATTATAAATTTACAAAAAAAGATCTTGGTAAGACAGACAATTATAGTGATTAAGGTCCCATTTTCAACCAGAAATGGTCCACTGTCTAGTGTTAATGAAAATACATTCTCAGAACTGGTTCACTGTCTAGTGTTAATGAGAATACATTCTCAGAACTGGTTCACTGTCTAGTGTTAATGAGAATACATTCTCAGAACTGGTTCACTGTCTAGTGTTAATGAGAATACATTCTCAGAACTGGTCTACTGTCTAGTGTTAATGAGAATACATTCTCAGAACTGGTCCACTGTCTAGTGTTAATGAGAATACATTCTCAGAACTGGTTCACTGTCTAGTGTTAATGAGAATACATTCTCAGAACTGGTTCACTGTCTAGTGTTAATGAGAATACATTCTCAGAACTGGTTCACTGTCTAGTGTTGATGAGAATACATTCTCAGAACTGGTTCCCTGTCTAGTGTTGATGAGAACACATTCTCAGAGCTGGTCCACTGTCTAATGTTAATGAGAATGCATTCTCAGAACTGGTTCACTGTTTTATGCTTACACGTATGTGTAGTCTGAAACTAATATTAATAGGGGTTGTTTTTTAGCATACCCTGTGAGACTGGTAAGAGATGCAAATCACTGTATTTTGGATCATTGGACAACTATGCAACCGTACTCAGCTTAGGTATGCTGTAAATCTAACTGTTGCTTTTTGCAACATTCTCTGCAGTCTAGGTTTCCATTATTTAAGCACTGAAGAGCAGCTGGCCCAGACTGCAGCAGCCTAGCTTCCATGATACCCGATACTGTTACGTGGCAATGCTAGTCAGACAATGATCTATGTCTTTCGCAGATGCTGCTATATGAGTCTTATTAAAATTCCAACTTTACTGCTCCTAAATTTACCTTGCAATCACTAATGACATTTGTAACTGGCTATTTCTTTGCAGTCAGTTCTCGTTGTCGTGGAAACATTGTCATATGATATGACTTTCTACCATTGTAATGCATGACCACAAAGAATGGTTTTGTTTTTCGCGTAACTGTGTTTCCTGGATGCACTAAGGCTTCCAGAGTACTGCCATACATTCATATTGTTACCATCTATTTGTAATTATACTTATTTGTGCAGTATGGCCCATATCTGTAGACAGGTATGACACAACAAAGAAAATAAATGTAAATGATGAACAAAAGGTAAATCTATAGTGTTATATTACCAGTTATGTTGTGAAACTTATATGCGTCTATGATATTAGCTGCATTTGACATTGTTATTTTGAAATGCTATTTTTTCCCAAAGCGAAATGAAATGTTTTTGTATGTATGTAGGTGGATACATTAAACAGATGGATTAGGTTGGTACTGCCACACTAGCTGGTTGCTGTGCTGTGCTGTGCTGTGCTGTGCTGTGCTGTGCTGTGCTGCCTAGCAAGTCACAATGGTGTACTGCACTGTCACCTCACTATCCAGCCTTATCTGTTTTGCAGGCTTTCAGAGTTTGGATAGACTACTTATTTTAATTAAATAACCTTGTTTAAGTGTGACCATGTGTCACCGCCTCTTCCAAGGAATGAGACAGGGATCTGTAACACCAACCCTACCTTCCACTGGCTGTACAAGACAATGGGAGATACCACATAGTCCTCCCATCACATGCTATATCCATTGTGTCTGTGCCAGAGAGTAGTCTGTTTAATGATATTCTAAAGAGCCCATTTAAGACTCATGACCACACTTAAATCACTATGACTAACTGTGTCTTTGTCTGTAAATTTTATACTGTAAGCATAAAACTTGTTGGCAAATATTAAAAATACAAGGTCAATGACATAAAATATTGGCATGTGATGACTCCACCTGTCAGGGCAGTCCAAAGATACTTGAAGAGTTGTCATACTTGGGGTATAATGATTTCATAACTGGAGGTACTATTTCTGAGTTTTCCAGTATTTTGCATTACATTTTAGTTGTTCATTATTGTTATGAAAAATGCTGTTTATCAAAACTATTTCTGATGTCTAATGTCCATCAAGCTAATATTTGAAGATCAGTTATGAATTTCAACTGTTGATTGTTTTTTCTTAGTAACTGTGCCGAAAGACTGTTGACTGTTGACCCCAGAATAAGTCACTGAATGCTATGCACTTCACCAACACACATTTTCATAATGTACAAACTTACATTTTGTATCTGAAAGTAAGATCTTATCTTTGATGGTTTGTTTTGGTCCACTATTTGCATATTGTTCAGATGCCCTGGTTGTGTCCTGTTATTAGCCTGGTTATCACACATATTTCTCCCCTCTCCTTCCCCATTCCCTACTCCCCCCAAACCACCACCACCCTACCCCACACGTTAGCCTAATGGCCCTTCGCCTGTGACAGTATAGTTAGTAGTTAGTGTCATCTACGCTCTCTCTAATATGTTCTTGATTGACATGTTTTTTCTGCTGTTAACTCTGGCGTCTGCAGTCTTAATGTCTGTCCCCAGCGGCCCTTGCACCTGCCTGCTTATACTGGCGGCCAGTCCTATAATTCAGCCAAATAGCGCTGCATGCACAAATTGATCTTGTATGCTCTGGTCAGACATGATGTCACAGAAAATAATTTGCAAGAAGAACTCGGTGATTGGGTTGGGTGCAGGGAGGATGGTACATAACATTATGTCCATGTGTGATTCATGGTATCAGTGTGCAGGATATATCTGTGTAATTGTTAGTCACAGGGCAGGGTGGAGAGGAGGGGAGAGTGTAGGGTGAAGGAGGGAGGGGTTGGTTAAAGGAGGTGGGTGAGGGACAGGTGGGTGGGTTGGTGTGTGAAGGAGGGGAGGGACAGGCAGGGGGGTTGGTGGTCGAAGGAGGGGAGGGACAGGCAGGGGGGGTTGGTGTGTGAAGGAGGGGAGGGACAGGCAGGGGGGTTGGTGGTCGAAGGAGGGGAGGGACAGGCAGGGCAGGTTGGTGGTCGAAGGAGGGGAGGGACAGGCAGGGGGGGTTGGTGTGTGAAGGAGGGGAGGGACAGGCAGGGGGGTTGGTGTGAAGGAGGGGAGGGACAGGCAGGGCGGGTTGGTGTGAAGGAGGGGAGGGACAGGCAGGGGGTGTTGGTGGGTGAAGGAGGGGAGGGACAGGCGGGGGGGGGGGGGGGGGTGTGTGAAGGAGGGGAGGGACAAGCAGGGGTGTGTGTGAAGGAGGGGAGGGACAGGCAGGGGGGGTTGGTGGGTGAAGGAGAGGCGAGGGCAGGCTGAAGGTGGGTGGGTGGAGGGACAGGCGGGTTTGTTGGTGTGTGAAGGAGGGGGGGGGACAGGTGTATGAAGGTGGAGAGGACGAGGGGGGTTGGTGTGTGAAGGAGGGAGGGGGGACAGGTGTGTGGGTTGGTGTGTGAAGGAGGAGAGGGCGAGGGGGGTTGGTGTGTGAAGGAGGGGAGGGATTGTTGATAGGCAGGGAGAAGAGGAGTGGCACTAAGGAGGGAAAGAGCTGCAGGTAAAGGGGTGGCAGGGCCACTCAACTTGTGGTGTACGTAAGCTGATTTTATCTTGCTTTTAATATTCATATTGCATCATTCTGACAATTGCAAGTCCAAACTCTGTCACACAGTAGATGATGTTAGTTAAGTAATCTGGCTGTGAGTATTTCTCTCAACTGAGGATAATAGTTTTCTTAAGACAACAGTCATAGTATGTTGTTTAAAAATAGTGCAACTGCCAAATTTTGCAAACCTTATGTGTGAGTTTAACACTGCCTGGAGCGTTGTTTGTTATTGGGTGAATCGAGTGTGAAGCAGTGAGGTGATGCACTAATCTGTTACTCACGACAGAGGTGACACAGACATAGCTAGCAGAGATGACACGTCATCTGCATAACACCCGCTCTTTTATCTTTACAAAACATCTGTCGGGGCTTTGTTCTCTCTCATTACAAATATTCTTTAGGAAACAAATGACACAAAAAAATATTCTTTAAGAAACAAATGACACAAAATATTATTGTAAACTCCAAATGACTCAGTTTGCATGTATGTTGAGGAAACTAGCCCTAACTGTACATCTGGTTAGCGATTACTGATTCAAATCAATCACAGTGTTGTGAGATTTATTTAAATAAGTCAGTACATTTACTTATCTTGGTAGTTTCAACTTGTTTTTAATCACCTGGAGAAGCGTTATGTAACAGGAATAAATACACGCTACATGCTGAAGTTTGTGAGTCATATCCTGCTGTGTCACATGACTGGTCATGTGACCATGGATGACATGTACCCCATAGTAGTAAGTAACAAACCTGTTTGGCGATTATAAAATTTGGATTTTCCTTGTATGTTACAGGTGAAGTTTGAAGAAGTAGTGATTGCTTTCCTGCAAGTTTAGGTAAGTATTGCATGCAGTCTTTGATTTGATTCAATGTGATCGTCTGTGTTAAACGAGATGAAGTAGTATCAGTATGTAACCATGGAACATGCATGTTCCCGCCATTACACGTTGCTTATTCATGATGACAGTATTGTCAATATATTTCATTGCCCTATCAAAGTACATCATGGAGACCATTCTATACTTGTCACAAGGTAATGGGGGCACAGGCTTCATGCATCTAGAAGCTTCCAGAATTCATAACAGAGATTTCAAATTCAGGACTGTTGTCATGTCAAGCTGACAGAGAGGTCACAAATGATATCAATGCTGTGACGATTTATGACTGTAGGCTGTAATATCAGGTTCAGGGGCATTTTAATATGTATGAAATTAAAGCACTAAAACACTTCAAGATAAGGTTTCAGAATGACAAGAGAGGTATTTGTGTAAGGACTGACCAAGGTAATGTCTGAAACTTGGGTGAAAGACCTGTTTCCAACTGGAGATGGCCGGGGAGCAGCATGAGCCACTGATGGTTGGTGGGACTTGTGCCATTGGAGGGCCCATGGAGGTGACCCATCGGTGCCATCATATCACCTTGCCCTCACCAAAGATTGCAGTTCTCACTCACTTATGGCATGGCAATCATGAGGGATTTGTGGCAGAACTGTTTTGTGCATCTTCATTAAGCATTTATTAAGTATTAATTAAACTAGCATGTGCATTTTCATACCGATTAATAATGGTTTGTCAACATACGATGAATGAGACTTTCTTCACTGCATCAGTTGTAATATAGGAGTACCTTTTTCACCTACTACGTGATATTTTGCTGTGTTTAGAAATGTAATGTATACCCCTAGATATCCATAATTGCAGCCAGCTACATTTTGCGTTCAAATACAAACTTATGGTTTGAAAATATATATATATTTATAGCCCAAAAGGTTTTTATTTTTAAAATAATAATATTTATGCTTCAAGCATGCCTAGTTTTGATTTGCTTAAGGAAATAAATATTTTTGTCTATTTTATCCCTGCATTGATTTTAAGATAACCTCTATTTACACAAACTCAATCACCATGCTCTTCCTAAAATGAATATTTGATATGTAATATGGGGACTCTTCAAACTATTGATTTTAAAATTTGAATTTGAAATGTCAGGTCATCGTGACATTTCAGAACTTGTTTTTCTTGATTTCATTCCATAGACACGATAAGATAAATGTACATTTTCACACAAATATTCCACACAGTTGTGTGTTTGAGTGAAGAGAAATAACTATGACCGAAACTGTGTAGGAATACATTATGTGTGTAAGATGGATGGAATAATGCATTGTGTGTGCAATCTGGAGAAAGAAGAATGCATTGTATGTGCAATCTGGAGAAAGAATAATGCATTGTGTGAGTAATCTGGAGAAAGAAGAATTACTCACACAATACATTAAGAAGATAGAAGAATCGTTGATAGAAGAATCGTTGAGAAAGAATAATGCATTGTGTGAGTAATCTTGAGAAAGAATAATGCATTGTGTGAGTAATCTGGAGAAAGAATAATGTATTGTGTGAGTAAGATTAGTCACACAATGCTTTCTTCTATCCTTCATCTTACACACAAGGCATTCTTCTATACTTCAACTTGCACACACAATGCATTCTTCTATCCTTCATCTTACACACTCATTGTATTCCTACATGGGGTGAATTTGTCTTCAAATCATCTTGCTGCATATATACTGTGTACCAATTACACATTGCCCACATCCCCTGTGATACATAGCCCACATCCCCTGTGATACATTGTCCACATCCCCTGTGATACATTGCCCACATCCCGTGTGATACATTGCCCACATCCCCTGTGATACATTGTACACATCCCCTGTGATACATTGTACACATCCCCTGTGATACATTGTCCACATCCCCTGTGATACATTGCCCACATCCCCTGTGATACATAGCCCACATCCCCTGTAATACATTGCCCACATCCCCTGTGATACATTGCCCACATCCCCTGTGATACATAGCCCACATCCCCTGTGAAATATTGTACACATCCCCTGTGATACATAGCCCACATCCCCTGTGATACATTGCCCACAACCCCCGTAATACATTGTACACATCCCCTGTAATACATTGCCCACATCCCCTGTGGTACATTGCCCACATCCCCTGTGATACATAGCCCACATCCCCTGTGATACATTGTCAACATCCCCTGTAATACATTGTCCACATCCCCTGTGATACATTGCCAACATCCCCAGTGATACATAGCCCACATCCCCTGTAATACATTGCCCAAATCCCCTGTGATACATAGCCCACATCCCCTGTGATACATTGTCCACCTCCCCTGTAATACATTGCCCACATCCCCTGTGATACATTGCCCACATCCCCTGTAACATATTGCCCACATCCCCTGTGATACATTGCCCACATCCCCTGTGATACATTGCCCACATCCCCTGTGATACATTGTCAACATCCCCTGTAATACATTGTCCACCTCCCCTGTGATACATTGCCCACATCCCCTGTAATACATTGCCCACAACCCCTGTGATACATTGCCCACATCCCCTGTGATACATAGCCCACATCCCCTGTGACACATTGCCCACATCCCCTGTAATACATTGCCCACATCCCCTGTGATACATTGCCCACATCCCCTGTGATACATAGCCCACATCCCCTGTGATACATTGCCCACATCCCCTGTAATACATTGCCCACATCCCCTGTGATACATTGCCCACATCCCCTGTGATACATAGCCCACATCCCCTGTGATACATTGTCCACATCCCCTGTAATACATTGCCCACATCCCCTGTAATACATTGTCCACATCCCCTGTGATACATTGTACACATCCCCTGTAATACATTGCCCACATACCCTGTAATACATTGCCCACATCCGCTGTGATACATTGTCCACATCCCCTGTAATACATAGCCCTCATCCCCTGTGATACATTGCCCACATCCCCTGTAATACATTGCCCACATCCCCTGTGATACATTGCCCACATCCCCTGTGATACATAGCCCACATCCCCTGTGATACATTGCCCACAACCCCTGTAATACATTGTCCACATCCCCTGTAATACATTGCCCACATCCCCTGTAATAAATTGTCCACATCCCCTGTAATACATTGCCCAAATCCCCTGTGATACATTGCCCACATCCCCTGTGATACATAGCCCACATCCCTGTAATAAATTGTCCACATCCCCTGTAATACATTGCCCACATCCCCTGTGATACATTGCCCACATCCCCTGTAATAAATTGTCCACATCCCCTGTGATACATTGCCCACATCCCCTGTGATACATAGCCCACATCCCCTGTAATAAATTGTCCACATCCCCTGTAATACATTGCCCACATCCCCTGTGATACATTGCCCACATCCCCTGTAATACATTGCCCACATCCCCTCTGATACATAGCCCACATCCCCTGTAATACATTGTCCACATCCCCTGTAATACATTGCCCACATCCCCTGTAATACATAGCCCACATCCCCTGTAATACATTGCCCACATCCCCTGTAATGCTTTGTACACATCCCCTGTGATACATTGCCCACAACCCCTGTGATACATTGCCCACATCCCCTGTGATACATAACCCACATCCCCTGTGATACATTGCCCACATCCCCTGTGATACATTGCCCACATCCCCTGTGATACATTGCCCACATCCCCTGTGATACATAGCCCACATCCCCTGTAATACATTGCCCACATCCCCTGTAATACATAGTCCACATCTTCTGTAATACATTGCCCACATCCCCTGTGATACATTGCCCACATCCCCTGTAATACATTGCCCACATCCCCTGTAATACATTGCCCACATCCCCTGTGATACATAGTCCACATCCCCTGTGATACATTGCCCACATCCCCTGTAATACATAGTCCACATCTTCTGTAATACATTGCCCACCTCCCCTGTGATACATAGCCCACCTCCCCTGTAATACATTGCCCACATCCCATGTGATACATTGTCCACATCCCCTGTGATACATTGCCCACATCCCCTGTGATACATAGCCCACATCCCCTGTGATACATTGCCCACATCCCCTGTAATACATTGCCCACATCCCCTGCGATACATAGTCCACATCCCCTGTGATACATTGCCCACATCCCCTGTAATACATAGTCCACATCTTCTGTAATACATTGCCCACCTCCCCTGTGATACATAGCCCACCTCCCCTGTAATACATTGCCCACATCCCATGTGATACATTGTCCACATCCCCTGTGATACATTGCCCACATCCCCTGTGATACATAGCCCACATCCCCTGTGATACATTGTCCACATCCCCTGTGATACATTGCCCACATCCCCTGTGATACATAGCCCACATCCCCTGTGATACATTGCCCACATCCCCTGTGATACATTGTCCACATCCCCTGTGATACATTGCCCACATCCCCTGTGATACATTGTCCCTTCCCCTGTGATACATTTCCCACATCCCCTGTGATACATTGCCCACATCCCCTGTAATACATTGCCCACATCCCCTGTAATACATTGCCCACATCCCCAGTAATACATTGCCCACATCCCCTGTAATACATTGTACACATCCCCTGTGATACATTGTCCACATCCCCTGTAATACATTGCCCACATCCCCTGTGATACATTGCCTACATCCCCTGTAATACATTGCCCACATCCCCTGTATTACATTGCCCACATCCCCTGTAATACATTGTACACATCCCCTGTGATACATAGTCCACATCCCCTGTGATACATTGCCCACATCCCCTGTAATACATAGTCCACATCTTCTGTAATACATTGCCCACATCCCCTGTCATACATTGTACACATCCCCTGTGGTACATAGCCCACATCCCCTGTAATACATTGCCCACATCCCCTGTAATACATAGTCCACATCTTATGTAATACATTGCCCACAACCCTGTGATACATTGTCCACATCCCCTGTGATACATTGTCCACATCCCCTGTAATACATTGCCCACATCCCCTGTGATACATTGCCCACATCCCCTGTGATACATTGCCCACATCCCCTGTGATACATTGCCCACATCCCCTGTAATACATAGTCCACATCTTCTGTAATACATTGCCCACATCCCCTGTGATACATTGTACACATCTTCTGTAATACATTGCCCACATCCCCTGTGATAAATTGTACACATCTTCTGTAATACATTGCCCACATCCCCTGTAATACATAGTCCACATCTTCTGTAATACATTGTCCACATCCCCTGTGATACATTGCCCACAACCCCTGTGATACATTGCCCACATCCCCTGTGATACATTGCCCACATCCCCTGTCATACATTGCCCACATCCCCTGTCATACATTGCCCACATCCCCTGTGATACATTGTCCACATCCCCTGTGATACATAGCCCACATCCCCTGTGATACATTGCCCACATCCCCTGTAATACATTGCCCACATCCCCTGTAATACTTTGTACACATCGCCTGTGATACATTGCC